CCAATTTCAAAGCCGCCGGATCCTTTCTCCATGCAGGCAGCAACACCAAGAAGCAAACACGAGCATGCCAGGTTCAAGCGTCAGCAGTTGGCAGCTTTTTTTTCCCAAGTCTGCGCTAGGCCGAACATCTACATCACCCTGTTCTTTTTAGTCGGCGGCGATCGGGCCGCCGAGGGCGAGGTCGCCATGGCCATGGGGGTCCTCGGCTGTCGTCGTTGTAGTAGTAGTAGTAGTAGAAGTAGCAGTAGCAGTGGCACAGTATATTTGTTCCAAGCGACCCACCGGTGCCATCCGTGGCCGGGGTCCTCGGCTGTAGTAGTAGTAGTAGTAGTAGTAGTAGTAGTAGTAGTAGTTGTAGTAGTAGTAGCAGCAGCAGTAGTAGTAGTAGTGAGTATATTTTTGTTCCCAGCGACTGCGTGGCGCCCGGCTGCGACGTCGGCGAGGTTTGCCTTGGCTGGTTTTCGGGCTTTGGGGTTAGGGGGTTTCGAGCTTGGTTTTGGACAAGCGGGATGCCCTGTGCCGACAGAGGATACGGCAAGCCGACGTGCTGCATCCTCGGTTTAAGGTTAAAGGGTTTAGTATTTAGCTGGGGTGATACGGAATTTACACGCCAAGCGGCTGCGTGCGCAACCATGGGGGCGTCCCCGGCGGCGTCAAGGTTAGGGCCCTTGGCTGCATGATGGAAGAGCTGGGGTGATACGGAATTTACACGCCAAGCGGCTGCGTGCGCAACCATGGGGGCGTCCCCGGCGGCGTCAAGGTTAGGGCCCTTGGCTGCATGATGGAAGAGCTGGGGTGATACGGAATTTACACGCCAAGCGGCTGCGTGCGCAACCATGGGGGCGTCCCCGGCGGCGTCAAGGTTAGGGCCCTTGGCTGCATGATGGAAGTTAACGGGTTTAGCGGGGGTGATACGGAATTTACACGCCAAGCGGCTGGAACAATGGGGGCGTCCCCGGCGGCGTCAAGGTCATGGACCTTGGCTGCATGATGGAAGTTAACAGCTATACCCTAAAAAAAAAGCCAAGCTGCTGGAACGGCGGCGTGCCCAGGTCAGACGGGGTTATCGGGATAAACGTCCCATTTGGCGGCCTCCTTGGCTGCATGATGGAAGTTAACAGCTATACCCTAAAAAAAAAAAGCCAAGCTGCTGGAACGGCGGCGTGCCCAGGTCCGACGGGGTTATCGGGATAAACGTCCCATTTGGCGGCGTCGTCACATCGATAACCACCGGCCGCCTTTGCATAGAAAGGGGCGTCCTCGGCTTCACCATAGACAGAGAGAGCCATTGAGTTCAAGAGAGAGAGAGAGAGAGAGAGATCAGGAAAGCGAGTGATAAATTTTGCCAAGAAGCCGAAAGAAAGCTTCGGGCGGTGGTGTCGTTGGCTGGGCCGGACCCCTTAGGGTTGAAGGCCCGGGGCACGTAGAGAGAACGATCGAGACAGAGCCAAGCGACAAGACATCCATCATCGACCAGGGCGGAGTTTCACCCCCCGGCGGAGCGTAGGGCCACATGATCGATGATGGAGTATTTGAACTGGCGAGGAAGTATGGGGACAGAAAGAGGCTATGCATGAAGTTCGCTAATTTCGCGGAGGCACGGCGCCATGACTCCGAAGCACACGGAACCCCGGGAGGATGGTGTCCTTAAGGGTGTCCTTAGTGTCGGGCATTAACGCTTGGTTAAGGCGTGCAATATCAAGAACTTCGCCAAAGCACTGCCCATTGCCATGTCCCGATGAACCCATGGAGGATGTTGTCCTGGGCGGGTGATCGCATTATGGCTGAAGGGTTTACGCTCGCAATTTTCGCAAAGGCACTGCCCAGTGCCATAGGCTCCTCGTCCACCCCTTGCCATGCCCAGCGTCCTTGGGTTCGGCAAGTATGGTTATAAGGGGTTTCAAGTTAATTTAATTTCGCAGAGGCACGGCACCATGACTCCGGGGCCCACGGAACCCAGGGAGGATGTTGTCCTTAGTGTCGGGCATTAACGCTTGGTTAAGGCGTGCAATATCAAGAACTTCGCCAAAGCACTGCCCATTGCCTTGTCCCGAGGAACCCATGGAGGATGGTGTCCTGGGCGGGTGATCGCATTATGGCTGAAGGGTTTACACTCGCAATTTTCGCAAAGGCACTGCCCAGTGCCAAAAAATCCTCCTCCACCCTCTGCTGCCATGCCCAGCGTCCTTGGGTTCGGCAAGTATGGTTATAAGGGGTTTCAGGTTAATTTAATTTCGCAAAGGCACCGGCCAGGGCCGACCTTAATCCATCTTCCATTTTGCATCTGCCAAACCTGAGAGCACTCGGTTTAGGGTTTGAGGGTTTGAGGGTTTAGGGTTTTTCGGAAATATATGAGGGTATTGGGTTTTGGGTTTAGGCAAGCCGCGCCCGTCAACGATGGCGGTGTTAACCTGGGCTTGTTAACGTTTGAGGAACATCAGGGTGCAACGAAAGTTCCCTAGATGCTCCTGCACGAAAAGGAGGGGCCTAGCCTAAGCGTTATAAATTTCGCGGAGGCACGGCATCAGGAAGCCAATCGAACCCATCGAGTTCGAAGAGCCGCCGGATCGCGACGCCGTCAGCGCTCCATCAGGCGCAGGCGCGGGAGGTGCAGTGCCTTGCCTGCACCTCCGGTTTTGAATCGGAAGCATTGCCTGAGAAAAGTTGTGATGCTGCTAGCTGCTCACGCCCATGTTGCAATCTTCTGCTGCCGCTGGAAAACTGCAGCAAGAGCTCCATGCGCACAAAAACCGTCCAATGTTGAGGACCTGAACCCCAAAGGAGCAGGAGCAAACGGCCAAAACCCGCAAAAGCCCGGTCAAACCCCGGACCCCGACCCCAAGCAATGGCGATGTCCTTGGCGGCACTCCGCTGCGCTTGGCCTCGCTCGAGGTCGTGCGTACCTGCGGCCACCAAAGCCGTACGGATCGCTAATCATTGTGAGTGTACACAGGCCGGGGGCACTCACCCTGAAATGCTCAGCTAAAAGAAGCACATGGCAGAGGCGGCCCACGGCGAGCCAAAATATTATATCAGTGGCTTCGGGTCCTCGAGCCCTTGGGCGAGGACCCTACACCGACTGTACTGTTACCAGTAACCTTGGAGTATTCTAATATATTCTAAATGTGGCTTCGGGTCCTCGAGCCCTTGGGCGAGGACCCTACACCGACTGTACTGTTACCAGTAACCTTGGAGTATTCTAATATATTCTAAATGTATCTGGCCCCTGAATTCCCGGCCGATATAGACACGTGACTTCCAGAGACCATGTAGAATGTTGAGGTTTGTGCGGGCTGGATAGGTTGCCCTCTCGCAGGGGATGGTGTCGCTTGGCGACCTCGTTTGATCAAAAACAAGCTTCAGCCATGTAAACACGCTTCGCCTCTGTCCTGTAAGCACAACGGACCTGTTTCTTTAGCGAATGCCGAGGGGTTGGAGCATGCTCACACACTCAAGTTGCACTACGGGCAACCTGAACTACGTTGTTGGACTTCCAAAAGTTGAAGCACCGGGCGAGCAGCACCCGATCCTCCAAAACTGACAGACGCTCCATGATTGAGTCCAAAAGCCAATTAGTGCGCAAGGAGATCCTGAAGATTTGAAGCTGCATGCTGTGCGCATGCCTACCCACCACACTCAGTGTGTCGGTACTCCAGGAATTATCACTGACCACCTCACCAGTCAGCTCTGGGACCGCCGCGGATTGTTCGCCCATCTTGAGGCCTAGAGTAGAATGCTCCAGGAATTAAGCCACATCTGACTTATTCTCCCACGCTCTGAGATACGCACGGGTGGGATTTAGCGAGGCAGAGTGCCTACGGCCTTCAACGCTCTTCGCAGCTGCGGCATATTGCGGGACTTCTGTACAGACTCGACAGACCTACGGCTTCAAATGATCTATATACAGCTTCGCACAACCAACAAGCCAGGCCAATCAAAGCAACTAGGCACCCGATCGACCAAACGAACAAGCACGCCAAGCCATGAGTCGCAACCAAGCATGCAAGCACAACAACCGACCAAGTGAACAAGCACAGCAAGCCTTCAAGCAATCAACCAACCGACCGACCGACTGAAAACAAGCAGTTAATTAGCTGTACACTCGTGCACGCGCAAAACGTACACGCTGCAACACTCAACCGACCCAAGCCAAGCACTCGCAACACAAGGCTTCGGAGGCTCTCGGTGCTAAGGCTCTCGGTGCTAGGGCTCTCGGTGCTTAAGGCTCTCGGTGCTAAGGCTCTCGGTGCTCAAGGCTCTCGGTGCCAAGGCTCTCGGTGCCAAGGCTCTCGGTGCTAAGGCTTTCGGTGCTAAGGCTCTCGGTGCTAAGGCTCTCGGTGCTTGGGAGGCTCTCGGTGCTAGGGCTCTCGGTGCTTAAGGCTCTCGGTGCCAAGGCTCTCGGTGCTAGGGCTTTCGGTGCTAAGGCTTTCGGTGCTAAAGCTCTCGGTGCTAAGGCTCTCGGTGCTTGGGAGGCTCTCGGTGCTTCCGGGCTTCAGCTTCCGCAGTCTACGATGGGGTCCCGCGGTTATTCTGGCAGGCGGCGCTCAATGCTGCCAAACCTGCCCTGGCTTTCGGAGCTCGGCTCGGCTATATATAGGGCTTCTCGATCAGTTACTCCCAGCGTATATTGTCCCAGCGGTTAATCCCAGCAGTTATTTCTCCCAGCGGTTAATCCCAGCGGTTAATCCCAGCGGTTAATTGAATTCCAGCGGTTATTTCTCCCAGCGGTTAATCCCAGCGGTTAATTGCCCCAGCGGTTAATCCCAGCGGTTAATTCAAAATCCCAGCGGTTAATTCCACATCCCAGCTGTTATTTGATATCCCAGCGGTTAATTTAGCATCCCAGCGGTTAATACCACGTCCCAGCGGTTAATTAACCGACGTAACGCGTTGCAAAATGTCCCATCGGTTATTAACCGACGTAGGGCTGTCCAGGCAAGAGAGATCATGGATACACGGCGTGTCCCAAACGCAAGAAGGAGTGACTAGGTGTGCAATCCATGGACCAAACGACTGACGAGAAAGATGCTGCGCCGAGCGGTGAGCCTCTCGTGCGCTCTTCTTCTGAATGCAGTGTCCCTGAAGGGGAAGTTTTGCATGCAGGTCCAAATGGGTTGCCTTCCGCTGAAGAATTCGCTTCAAGTCTGCTTGGGAAGTGGATTGAACAGGCTGATGTTTTGAAGCTTTTCGATTGCCTCCCGAAAGCTGCGCCGCAACGCGGCTCCGGTGGCGGCATTTCATTTACCACTGGGGCCTTTGCCAAGGTCAAGGTGGGACTCCGGAGCAATGTCGCTGTTTTTCCAAAGTCCACGCAGGTGCTGGCTGCTTTTGTAAGGCAGTCTGCTCCTGCCCACAAGTTCACAACCGTCGTGCTTTTTGATGGTGTTGGCACGGACCCGCATCGTGACCAGCAGAATTCCTTCTTGCCTAATTTGGCCATTCCCTTGTCCCGTTTTACTAAAGGTTCAATTTGGGTGCAATCCAGCAAGGGTCCCCATACTCGGACTGTTGATGGCGCAACCCTTCAAGGGGTGGCATTGCCTGTGTCGAATGGCCCTGTCCTGTTTGATGCACGCAGGCAGATGCACCTCACTGATTCGTGGCAGGGCAGGAGGGTCATTTTGGTTGCTTTCTCTATTTCGGCCTTTGATAAGCTGTCTCTCGAGGCCTCGCAACGCTTGATTTCACTTGATTTTGCCTTGCCAACCGAGCCAGAGGTCGAGCACTTCCGTGAGCACCCACAGCTGCCTGCTCGCCTGCCGTGGCCGCCGCGTTTCCCTCTGCTGTCGAGTGCTTCAGCAACCAAGGCTTTTACCGAGGCGTTGGTTCCCAAAGAACCACTTTTTCTTGAGCTATGTGCCGGCACCGCCATGCTTTCTCGCTGCTTTCGTGAAGCGGGTGTGCCTGTCATGCCCATTGATCACCAGCACAACCGCCATCATCCGTTGGCGCAGGTCTGCAATCTCAGCTTGACCGAGGAGTCCACTTGGGTCTTCTTGCGCAATTTGGTGCGTGATCATCCTATACTCTTCGTGCACGCTGCCCCGCCTTGTGGCACGTGCTCCGCAGCGCGCAACATAAAGCGAAAAGGGGTGTCCGTGGCCCCGCTTCGCTCTCCTGAGCATCCCATGGGTTTGCCTTCGCTGACTGGTGTCAACCTTGAGAAGGTCAAGGCTGCAAATAAAATTTACGTTGGCCTTGCCCAGTTTCTTGATTTGCTTTGCAGGTCCAACATCCCATGGACAGTTGAAAATCCTGAGTCAAGCATGCTTTGGCAGCTGCCCTGTTTTGCTCATTTGGTAAGGGTCAATTTCGACATGTGTTGCTATGGTGGTGCACGATTGACCCACCGTACGCTGCTTACTTCTTGTGATGCCATCGAACATTTTCGCCAGCGCTGTCCGGGTGGGCACGACCACCTTCCGTGGAAGCCACAGCGCCGCGCTGATGGCACGATGTCTTTTCCTACTGCGCAGGAGGCAGCCTACCCCAGGCCCTTTTGCCAACAGTTCGTGGCGCTGGTCTTTAGGCACTTGGGTCGTCCCTTGCCTGTGCACCCTACTGCGGCCACGTCTGCCGCTGCTGCCACTTCTTCTGCTCGGCAACCTCGCGGGCGTAAACTGCCTCCTGTTATGCCTGAGTTCAAGCGTGTGCTTCTCTACCAAGTTCATGCTCTGCCGCCTGTTGATTCCAAGCGGTGCATTTTGCAACCCCTCCGCGATGCTCCTTCTGGGTCCAAACTTCTCTCTTCGACCTCTTTACTGCTAAGCGGGGGTGGTTCTGGGTCTTCGTTGAAGTTTTCCCGGGATGAGGTTGTGCACTCGGATAGTTCTAGCAGTGATGCCAGCAGTTGCGAATCCGTGCACGGTTCCGACAGTGATGCATCCTGTGCGCGGACCTTGGAGCCTACTAGCGATGCGAGAGCTTTTGAGGTTCGCCTTGGTGTGTACGCCTCTCCCGATGAATTTCTTGATGGGTGCAGAAGGGTTACTCATCCTTTCGATCACCTGCGTGCCGCTCCTGATCGTCTCAAACAATGCATTTTTGACATGTTGGTCAATGGGCCGACCTGGGTTGTGCAACGGAGGGCGGCCCTACTCAGGAAGTGGACGTCCTGGGCCTCCGACCTCGAAGGCGAGGAACGTGCTTTGAAGGAGGCGCTTGATCCTCAGGTCGCCAAGGTTTTGCAAGGAAAAAGGCTAAAGCTTCTGGAGCGTATTGCCGGCTCCCTTGGTTGGGTTGACATGAAGGTTTTTGATGAACTGCGCAATGGTTTTGACTTGGTGGGCCATCATGAACACACTGGCGTTTTCGCTCACGAGCCCAGGCCACCTAAGTTGGCCGAAAGTGATTTCATTAGTGCCGCACAGTTTCTGCAGCCCGCTTTACTTGGAAAGATTCGTGCTTCTGCATCCGATGCGAATGCTCGCGAGCTGTGGGACAAGACTCTTGATGAGGTGGCTGATGGCATTCTTGAGGGACCGCTTTCTGCTGAGGAGTTGTTGTCTCGACACGGGCCGTGCTGGCTCCCTACTCGCCGGTTCGGCGTTGAACAGACTTCCTCCGCCGGCCGTAAACTTAGACCTGTTGATGATTTCACTGAGAACAAAGTCAATTTGGCTTTCGGCTCGATGGATAAGCTTGATCTTAACGCGCTTGACGAGTTGATTGGGATCAGCAGGTTGTGGATTCGGGTTCTGAACGGGCCGCCCGATTTCACAATCCCTCTTTCAACTGGTGAATCCTTGAGTGGTCGTCTGCATGACGGCTGGAAGAAGGTGGGGTACGAGCCTCTCCTCACTACCTTGGACCTCCGAGCGGCTTATAAGCAATTTGCGGTTTCTGCGAAGTCGCGGGCCCTGGCAATAATCGCATTGCTTGACCCTTCTACTGCTGAGCCTGGACTCTTTGAGTCGAAGGCCCTACCTTTCGGGAGTTCCGCTTCGGTGCTTCACTTCAATCGCCTTGCGCGCCTATTCTGGCGCATCGGCGTGGAGCTGTGCGTGCCTTGGTGCAACTTTTACGATGACTTCCCTGTCATGTCTCCGAGTGGCATTGCTGACAACACCATGGAGACCATGATTGCCCTGTGTAACCTGTTGGGGTTTAGGTTCGCCTCTGATAAGCTTTCCCCTTTAAGGCCCAAGCCACGATGCTTGGAGTGGAGGTTGATTGCTCTCGCTTTTCTGAAGGCCTGGTCCTAGTCAGGAACAAGCCTGGCCGGGCCGAAGAGCTCATTGCCTCTCTTGACGAAGTCCTTGAGGAAGGTTTGATTTCTCGGAAGCGGTATCTAAGCTTAATGGGTCGCCTGCATTACACCGACTCGTACATCCTTGGCAAGGCTGGACGGCTCTTCATGGCCGAGGTCAGGTCGTGGGCAAAGTCGCATTCTGGACCTGAGTTGAAGCTTGATGAGTGTGTTCGGAGCTCTCTTGAGCGGTTGCTGAAACGACTTCGTTGTGGCACTCCTCGCCATGTCCCTTGCTCTGTCGCCGATCACGTTGTGCACATTTACACCGATGGAGGGAGCGAAGGTAGCTCTCACACCGTTGGCGGGGTGTTGATGATTCAGAATCAGGTTCACGCTTACTTTGGTTGCTCTGTCCCTGATGTCCTAGTCTCGCGTTGGGCTGACTCCATGTGTCACTTTATTGGGCCCATTGAGGCCTATGCCGTTGCCGTCGCGAGGAAGGCTTGGCACCAATTCATCGCGGGACACAGATGTATCTTCTACATAGACAATGTGCCAGCGCAAGACGCCTTTATCAAAGGCACCTCTGTAAATCATCATGTCAGGGACATCTTGTTGTCTTTTGAGGCGGCCGAAGAGCTCAGTGCTTCTTGGTCTTGGTTCGCCCGTGTAGCCAGCCAGAGCAATGTGGCGGATGCTCCGTCGCGTGGCGACTTCGCCGATCTGCTTAATTCTGGGTGTCGTAGGGTTAGTCCCTCGTGCCCCTTGTCGGGTTGTGACCTTAAGACCCTCCTGGCTCCCGCAAGGATTACTAAGAAGGGGTGAAGGGGGCGGTCGCCAGACCGTGTTTCGCCCCGTGCAAAATGAAGGACAGTGCGATGCATCTTATGCCGGATTACTTGGAATCTTATGTTGCTTGTGATTGGATTCATTTGCAAATAGACTTTGAATCCTTTTTCCCTTTGCATATGTTTGAAAATCCGATTATGAAAAGGATCTCAGCAGACAAGCCTGCGCCATCTGCGATCCCTTTTTCATAAAAGGACCGCGAGCTTGAAGCGAGCATTTTCAAACTTGGTTTCAAAAACTTGGCATGGCTTGTTTTTGCACGTGACAATTTTTGCATTGACTTCTGCGCATCGCCTCGTTTGGTCTTGATGACACAACCTTGGTATGCAGCAGCTCAGTGCTCGAGCTGAGTTGTGAAAGAATTTTCTGCCCGCCCTCCACTCCCTATGTGCTGCTCTGGCTCTCCGTGCCATTGAGCTTGCAAATTCTCATGTGGCCTACTTGGAGCGTTGAGCTCTCCTTTGAGCTCCACTTCAATTGCATTGCGCCGCACTTGCTTTGCGTGCTGCCGGTGTTGAGCTCTCCTGTGAGTTCCACCTGTGCCTGCCGTAGGTGTTGCTGCGTAGTGTAGGTGTAGGCTGTGCCAAGTTAGCTGTGCTCAGCTGCTTGTGCTGTGCTGGTAGCCCGGCTTTTTCACCTGCATTCCGTTTCACTTGTGGTAGTCCGTAACTGGCGTGCGTGCTACTGCACTGTTCCCACCCTCCTCACGTCGCCAGACCGTGTTTCGCCCCGTGCAAAATGAAGGACAGTGCGATGCATCTTATGCCGGATTACTTGGAATCTTATGTTGCTTGTGATTGGATTCATTTGCAAATAGACTTTGAATCCTTTTTCCCTTTGCATATGTTTGAAAATCCGATTATGAAAAACTTCAAGCTGTCTTCGAAGTTTGCGAAAGTTGTGGATGATTCATCATGCCAGGAGTGCAAGGTGAATCAGGCGGGGTGAACAACTTTGACACCCCATACATGTATGATTTTGGTAACAGTAACACACGTGTACAGTAGTAGCTTTTGACTCCAGTTTTCACTTGAAAGACTTGTCGCTCCGCGTTGCTCGAACAGGCTCAGAGTGAGGTTGAAAAGTGTGGGAACTTGTTCACCATCACTCCCAGCAGCCCTCGGCCCGTCTGCCTCCCCATCCTCCTGGATGGAGCACTTGCCGCCGAAACTCAGCTCTGAGGTCGTCCAGAATCTGGTCACGACCTTTAAGGCCAACTATCCAGGGGAACTCCTGGACGATGACACCATGCCGTCAATACGCCTTCTCAGCCTCGTGCAACACAGCCTTCAGCCAGGAGAAAAACTCAAATGGATACCATGGCAGCTCCGCCTTAGCTCCAAACAGTACTATTATGGAGGCCAAGTCATCTAAGCCTATGAGGACGGAGGCACAGCTGCTCGCCTCAGCCATATATGACGACACTCCCGAGATGGCCGTATCCCATCTCCGCCTTTCGGTGTCCTGGCTGCAGCGCATCCAAACAGTTTTCAGGAACGCTTGGGCGCTGTGTGGGGCAGCCCACCTCAACAACCTGAAAGCCTTTGACAAGCGAGTCGAGCACTTAGCCTTGCCAGATCTAGCCGACTCCTCCCTTCGGGGACCAACTACGCAGGAGCTCTTGGCAGCTGACCGCAAGATTTGGAACACCATCTCTAGCCTTTCCGCCTCTGGCTGGAGCCTTGATGAAGCCCTGTACGAGGTCACTAGCATTCGGAGTGCTTCAGCCAAAACCGCGGCCGCCACCGACACCGCCGGGCCCTAACCGCCGACCCAACGGCGGAAACCCACCCCCCCCGCCAAGCAAAAGGATTCGCCTTAACACGCCAACCACCGAGAAAGGTGGCAAGGGAAAGGGCCGCGGCAAAGGCTTTCAGAAGCCAGATAGCCCATCCAAGTCCGATTCATGGCCCTCTAACTGGGTCTTGAAGGCCAAGGGCAAAGTGCTCTGTAAGCGTTACCAGAGAAATCTCTGCGCCTTACCTATAATTGCAAATTCGCCCACCTCTGCGCGGTCCGAGGCTGCGGCAAGGAGCACTGTGCCGTCGACCATGACAAGAAGCCGTCCTGACTAGGCCCTGCAACAGAGACTCAGCCGCGCCAACAATATCAGCCACCTCACAGGCCGATACCCGAAGCCTCACAAGCTGCATCCATGGAGCAGCGTCAGCCATCCAAGAGCCCACAGCAGGACTCGCCCGCGACATCCCAAGCCGCAGAAGAACAGCAGACGCATCAGCCTCAGCCATGCCCAACTCGCAACCCCGGGGGCGGCCCGGCAGGACGTCGCTTTGCCAACCGGGTCTGGACGTCGCTCAGCCAACGCAAAGCCCATAAGCCGCCAGTAGTCCCCAGCCTTAAGACCTTAGCGGTTTGCCCTTCTATTCCCATAGGAGCTACCTGCCTGCGTCACGCGGACGACGCCAACGTCTGCGCCATAGCCATAGACCTTTCCCACGAAGATCCCCAGCAGCTGCCGGACCTTCTCCTTCAAGCAATCTGGTCACGGGTCGTTCTAGGCGTCCTCGCGGACCTCAGCTCACTTGCCCCGCACCTCGAAGAAGCCTGCGCCTTCTTGCAAGCCATACGCTCCTCCGGAGCCTCAGCCCTCCTGTTCCTGCCAGCCGACCATTTCCTCTTCCAGGCGCCGCCGTTCTGCGAAGCCGGAGCCAGACTCAGATAGAATAATCCACAGCTCCTCTACCCACATGGCCCTGTGCGGACCCGGGTCTGGCAGCCTTGGAAGCGGCTGGCATGTTTGCGGCGATGCCACTTTCTACCAAACCCGCCCAGCCTCCAACCCTCGCATCAGCCTTGCAGAGCCATGGAGAACTGGCCCATAACAGGTCCCCTATCTGCGACGGGGCCGGCAACGCCAGCTCCGCGGATTGGAGCCGACCTAAGCCGAGCCCCGCGGCCATGCAGGACATTATGCAAGCTTGGCTTAAATGGGCATCCCAGCGTGACCTGCCCAAAAGAGTCTTTGCTAGCCTGCGAGGTCATGGAGTGGGACTACGATTCCATGATTCAAGCGGCCGAAGGACAGCCATTTCGCCTTAATCTTATGCAAGCCTTTGCGGATCTCCTCAACGACCCGGACAAAGACCTCCCAGCCCTGCTCCGCGTCGGGGTACACACGGGAGTCTTCGACTCCATTGAGCCCTCAGGGCTCTGGCCACTAGCCAAGATCCAGCCACTGGCCTCATCAGGACTGGAAGTCTGCGAGGGGAATTGGAAGCCTGCTGAGGCAGACCCTGACACAGTACGCAGCCTTCTGGTAGAGGAAGAAGCAGCAGGATGGATCCAGCCCGTGCCGGGCGGCCGCCAGGAAGCGAAACGACTCTGGCCCAAGGGCATAGCCGTCGGTAAGCTTAGCCTTGTGAAAGCGGAGAACAGAGACCCTCGGCTCGTCCTGGATAGCACGGTCTGCCAGGTCAACCCCATGTGCCGCATCCCAGAAGCGGTTGCGATGCCCACAGTCAACGATGTCCGAGCCACCTTCATGCCCTCAGACGCGCGGGGATCATTCCTCGCAGCCAGTGTTGATTTCAAGGCAGCCCACAAGCGAGTCAAGGTCCATCGCTCAGAACAAGGTCTCCTCCTCTTCATGTTTGAAAAGATCCTGTACAGATACGTTGTTTGCCATTTCGGGGCCAAGTTTTCAGCCTACTGGTGGCAGTGAGTGGGAGGACTTATTACACGCATTGCACACCATGCGCTAGCCTTCGCTCCCCACAAAGCCTGGCTTTACGTGGATGATCTCCTGTCAGCCCTGCTCCGAGCCTTCGCACCGGAACTCTTGTTCCTTCTCATAGCCACACTGTCAAGCCTGGCTGCTCCGATTAGCTGGAAAAAGGCCTCAGTAGGGGACAGCCTTGTCTGGTGCGGTTGGCACTTTAATTTTCGCCTTGAAACAGTGGAACTTTGCGAGGCCAAAAGAGCCAAATTGTGTGGACAGCTCAAGGCCTTGCTGGCACGCAAGAAGGTCCCCAGAAAAGACCTAGAAGCATGTATCGGCCTCCTCATGTGGGCGACAGCCAGCAAAGTCCTTCGAGCCCATGTAGCGCCGTTGTACAGTGTCTTGAACAGCCCGCCGGGCAGCAACTGCTCTATCTCTCCTCGGATGTGGCCAGCCTTCCTTCACAGCCTTGATTCCAGGGCGGTCATCTGCAGGTTAATACCAGGAGTCAACCTGCCGCTTAAGGCCCGTATCATCGAGGTCGGCAGTCGACCCGTCCACTGCAAAGCCGACCTCCCCCCACAGCCTAAGTCTTCGGGACCCACCTGGGTCCGCGTATCCCATCCTACTTGCCCTGAGATCAAGCTGACCAACACTGCCCAGGACAGCCTACGCTGGCTCCTGCCGCGTATTGAGGCCATACCAACCACTAGCCTTTCCCTTCCGCCCCTGGTCCCGTGCCTTGCCAGAGCTGACGCCATGGCCGAAGGGGACAGAGTCGGAATCGGTGGATGGATCACCGCCAAACAAAGCATGGCATGGTTTGTGGAAGCCTGGACCATGGAGGAAGTCAGGAACACATGGCCCTTCCTTACCAAGGATGCCCGGAAGTACATTGCTTGCTTCGAGACGCTGGCTCAGCTAGCACTAGCCATGACAGCCCGAGAACGCCACGCCTTCTCGCAATTTTCAGTCTGCCTGCCCTCGCAGAGCGACAACACGCCTTCCGAAGCTGGCATTAACAAGCTCTTCACCACTAGCTGGCCGCTCTCGCAGTTCCGCCAGCTGATAGCATCATGGTCATCCTGCCATGGCGTTGACCTACAGGTGTCTCACGTTGCAGGAGCACACAACCAATGGGCAGACGACCTCAGCCGAGGCCGGCTCCGAGCCTTCAGCCATAGACCGCAAGAACGAGTGAGAATCAGCCTTCACCGCCTTGCCTCTGCGGCCTCTCAGGCCACTTGGTCTGGAGCCCCAGATACAACAAGCCCTTTGATGCCCAGACCTGATTGAC